CTTCTTTCATAATATTCTAATAATGCTATAAATGTCAGGGAAATAATATCATTCCTCCCTAGAGATTCCAACTATTCTCAACTTGAAATCTCATCCTCAATTTTAAAAATCAAGATAATATTCAAGAATTTTAGTGCCAAAGGCCAATAAATTGATGAGGAATAACAACCAACTGATTTTGTTGAAGCATGAGGATAATTTTTTCCTAATGATTCGACAATAAAGAATAAAATTGGGAAGCAATTTTTTTTTTAAATATATCTATTTTTGATATGGTGATGAATGTATCACAGTAGCAATTCATGCAACTGTAGCAGTGAATTAAAAAAGTTTGAGTCAAGTATATTCTAATGTCATACAATACATCTAGATCTGTTAAGATATATGATCATCTTTGCGAAACTTAAGAAACACTACAACTGTAAGTGATACTGTTCTAGGGCTCCTAAAAAATATTTGGAAAGCAAATTTAGCGAGGAGGTGAATGTGGAATAGCAAGGGATGAGATCAGGGGCGGTCAACTGCATTTGGAGTGAGAAAACCGACGCTCGGCTGTTGTCCATACTGAAAAGAACAAAGATAATGTCGAAACGATGATGCAATGTTGAGGAGGTTCACCACCTATTCCAGTCACACCACTTGCAAAAGAAAAAGTACACAACACTCCCTTAGAGTATAAATCAGGGATACAATCTTTAAAACACACAAAAAAAGTCTCTAAAAAAAACAAAGCATATAAATATTTCTTTCTCAAAAACCCCAATTCTAATTAAAGACAATATTAAATATGGGCCTCCTGGGGCTTGCTGCTGAAGTAGGCGAGAAAGTCCCGCCACCCTGTGTTAGTAGGATCGTGCGATCCGCAGAACAATGAAATTGAGATCACAACATCCCACGTCTTTCTCCTCTGTAGGAGAGGTTTCACTTTCTTCTCTGAAAGCTTTTAGAGTTGATCTACCAACACCATAACACAGTCCTGATATTGCTTTGGCTTTGGGAGCCCCAATACAAAGTCTATGCTCATGTTCACCCAAGATAACTTTGAAGCACTTAAGTCTTTCTAAAGTCTGTTTTGATAGAATAAATAATTATTATTCTTTGGTACAATCAGGGCTGGAGCTACAACTTGCATAGTACTCTCACGAACCAAACCACTGCACATTAAATGTGTAGCCTACTTCTTTCAGACCTCATACTCGACTGGGCATATTCATAAACAAGTAGGTCTAGAGAAACTAACTTTGAAATGAAATCTATAGCTAACTGGATAACTCTCAGTGGCAACCACTCAGAAAGTAAACAATCAATTCAGATGTTTGGTAAGAGATGCTTCACCTTCTTCTCTGAAAGCTTCTAAAATTGATCTACAACAACCATAACAAAATCATGACTGTGTTGTGGCATGGAAAGCTCTAATGTAAAGTCTATGCTCATATCCACCCAAAGTAACTCTGAAGCACACACGTCTTTCCAAAGTCTATCCTGATAGAATAAATAACCATCATTCTTTCTCGTGCAATCAGAGCTGGAGTTACATCTTGCTAGTAATCTCATGAACCAAACCTCTAACCATCAAAGGTGTAGTCTGCTTCTCTCAATCCTCATACTTGGCTGGGCGTATCGATAAACAAGTAGGTCTAGAGGTACTAGCTTTGGAATGAAATCTATAACAATCTGGAACACTCTCAATGATAACCACTCAAGAAGTAAATTGTCAGTCCAGACATCTACAACTCCTCAAATAGGGACAACCTCTTTTTTGGTATCAACTCCTCGGACTCACTGTCATCTAAGATGACCAATGTTAATCCAACTAGAGATTTTCTTATGGGCTTAGCTTGAATCACAAGTATTTTTTTCTCATCAGCTGCAAGTTGAGATTCTCATGTGTTACTGTCTTTTTCTTCAACTGCTCCCTATTCAATGAAAGAAATCACTCTTCTGTTCATTCAATAAGGCTTCATATGGCCAAAACCATAGCACTTGAAGCATTTTACTAACAGGGATGGATTTGGAAGTATTGACGGGCTCCAGCTTTTCTTCAACTCATCCAATAGAGCCTGCCTCTTTTTTAGTATAAACTCCTTGGACTCACTACCATCCAAGATGACCAATGTTAATCCGACTAGAGATTTCCTGATGGGCTTAGCTTGAATCACACGTATCTCTTTCATGTCGGCTGGAAGTTGAGATTCTCACTTGTCACTGTCTATTTCTTCAACTGCTCCCTACTCAATGAAATAAATCACTCTTCTATTTAGTCAATAAGGTGTCATATGGCCAAAACCATAACACTTGAAGCATTTACTAGTAGGGATGGATTTAGGAGTATTGACGGGCTCCAACTTTTCTTCACTCTTTATGGGTGCATCCTTTGGTTGGGTCGGCTTGGTGCTCCACTAGGTGCACTCTTGTTGCTTGATTTGATGGTTAAACTCAATTTGGAGGGTGGTGTGAACCTGATATTGCTGTGTTATCTCTCCACTTTCAAAGCTAGGGTCTGGACATTTTATGATATCCAATATGGCTAGAACTGTACCACATTTCCATTAAACCATCTCAATTCCCTCAGATATTGAGCTATGGTGTTTTCTAGGACTCCATAGTCAACAATTCAACATAAATTGCTCGAAGTCAGATGTGTACTTCACAAAAGAATCTCTCTAGCGCAAGTGACAGAGTTTTATGAACATGTCCTATTGAATGTAGGAGAAGGCATTTGCGTTGCATCTCTTATTTCAATTTGGATCAGGTAGTAGCTTTACCCTTCCCTTCTCGCTATCATAGGTGTATCAAATTTTTCCACCAGAGAGAAAAACTTAATGGTAGCTACATTTACCATTATGCCTGGTGGAGTATCCTTATATTCAAATACCCGCTCCATTATCTAGAGCCACTAGATGAATTCGTCTGAATTCAAGCAACCATCAAAATCTGACAAATCAATCTTCACTCCAAAATCATGGCTTCTCTGCTAATATGACATGCCAAATTGTTGGAGTATTGGTTCATTGTAATTGCAATTTTTCTAGTGGAAGAAATTGACTTTCCCCTCTCAATAATGGTGAGTCACTGTTGTGATTATCTCCTCTCAAAGGGCAAGCATCTGTTGTAGTTGAATAATTTTCCATCGCATATCTTCTATAAAAAGTTGTTGGGCACCACACTAAGGGTTGTCCTTTTCTCTTGATCAAGTTTTCGGCCAATGTAGAAATGCAAATCAAGGTTTGATAGAAGGCTTAGATTTGGATGGTATTAGGTGCCAGGGTGAAATTTTAGTGAAGATGAAAAAAATGAATTTTAAAATTTTAGGGTCAAGGCTATGAGTTGTGTATGGCGGGAAATTTTTTATTTTATTTTTGGATTTGGATAAGAAATACAAAATCCTAAAAAATACAGGGTTTACTAGACTATGATATTAGATGACGTTGTTCTAAGGCATCCTAGAAGGTATTTGGGAAGCGGATTTAGTAGGGAGATGATCGTGGATAGCAAAGGATAACAATTGGGGTAGTTAACGGTATTTGGAGGGAGCTAAACAATATCGGCCAGCTGTCCCGACTGAAATCAACAAAAATAGGGTTGAAACGATGAGGTACGAGTGCCGAGAAGGTTCATCAATTGTTTATGCACAAACTACAGACACACCACTTACAAAAGAAAGACAAAACAAACAACACTCCATTAGAGTAGAAATCAAATATACAATCTCTAAAACACAAACAAAATCGAATTTTCTCAAAATAGGAAAACAAAACATATAAATAATTCACTCTCAAAAACCCTAATTATTTTTTTTTTACAAGAGCGATTCTAAAAATTTTCAACTTGAAATATCATCAACTTTTAAAATCAAGACAGCGTTCATGATTTTCAAGTGTCCTTAGAGAGAGATTATATTTTTGTTGAAGTTTGAGATTAAATTTCTCTTCGGGAGAATGGTGGAGAATAAGAATTATGGTGTAAAATTTAGAATGATTATTTATTTTTAGTATGATAATGATTGTATAACTTAACAGTTGATATGATTGTAGCAGTGAATTAAAAACATTTGAGTCATTTAATTACTATTTATAGTAGAATCTCATTTTCTTAAATGATGATATGTGAGTACAATGAATGAGGGTTTTTTAAAATTTTTAGCCTTCGGTGCAAAAATTAAGAATACTTTCTTCACCAAGAAGAAATTCTAAGAAAACTTGGGATAAGGGGAACATATATTTTGTTCTCAGTAGATTAGAAAAAATCACAACCTGAAATCTCATACATTCTTCATCCCTCCCACCTAAACCAGCAGGAAAAAAAGACAATAATTAGGTCTCTATTTGATGTATATATACTTTGTTGATTACAAAAAACAAATCTAGCACACACAGACACGGCAGTATATGCTGAAATGGGTTTGTGAACTGTAAATTTACAGTTATAGTTCTTCCCAAACAATAAGAAAAATGCATTTTGGCTAAAGTGGTGGCAATATTCGTATTAAAACAGTAGCCATAAGTTGGAAGTGAGCAAATATGTATTTTGAGTTCCCTCTGTTGATTACAAACAACAATTCTAGCGCACAAAGACATGGCAATAATGTTGAAATGGGTTTGTGAACTAAATTACAGTTATTGTTCTTTCCAAACTATGAGAAAACTGAATTTTACTTGAAGTGATGGCAATATTTGTATTGCAGCAGTAGCCAAAAGTTGGAAGTGAGCAAATAGAAACATATATTTTGAGTTCCCTCAATACACCGCTCAAGTACAAGCCGGTCATTTTGAACAAGTTCTGTTGGAACTTAGATTAAAAGCAGCTTCAAGTAATTAAGTCAAAATCAAATACTTTAAAGCAAGCATGAAATCATCAAGAAATATCAGTTATGCTCTAAAGAACTTACAGTTTCTTTTGCATTAGATTAAAAGCAGCTTCAAGTAATTAAGTCAAAATCAAATACTTTAAAGCAAGCAAGAAATCAACAAGAAATATCAGTTATGCTCTAAAGAACTTACAGCTTCTTTTGCATCTGAATCAACATCAGAAGGCACTTTAGTTCCATATCTCCAGTCCTCTACATTCTGTTTAAGTTTGCTAGCCCTGGAGGATTTACTGCAGGTACTCTTTTGAGTAAGTTTGGCACCCAGATTCTCATTTTGCTTAGTAATCGTCACATGTTTGTCCTTCAAATCAGATGAAGAATCACGAACATCATCTACTAAAGACAAATAAACATTCTCAGGATCAACTTCTCCTATCATATCTTCAATATATGCTTCATCCCCCTTCATTAAAGGCACAAAAAATGACCCTCGGTTCATGTCTGTACCATATTTCTTATCAGATCTCCTTTCCTGCAAAGGAGACAATAGTTCACGCTGTCTTTTCTTCATGATAGATGGAGTACATATAAAACTTTTGGCAGCATGTTTTAAAATTCCATCTGGACTATCATCACGAGAAGGAGAGTCCCATAAGTTGCAGGAAGCTGAGGACATCATCAGCTGCCTGATACCCAGTGGACTATAGGCTTGCTGAAGGTCACTAGACACAATGTCACAGCAAACAAATGGAAATTCCAAGCTCTGAATGCGTGGAGGTTCATAAAATAAAGATCCAGAATCCAAGAAATTTTCAGATTGAATTTCTTTCATCTTCTCTGCAGGAGAGACAGTTCCAGGTTCCAAAACGTTTTCTTGCTCTACTTTCTCCTCATTAATAAGAGAGAGATTCCTGCTCACATTGTCACAACAATCTGTCGCTGTTAGAGTTTCCTCTATACTTAGTTTCTCCTGCTCCTGGACTACACTCTCTAGTTGCTGGTCTATAGTCTCATGAATTAAAGAACTCGCTTCAGGAACAAGAGCAGCAGGGCAACCAGATTTAGGAACACCAATGAATAAGCCTGCAACAGCTCCAGAATTTTGCAGCCTCCAAGATGTATCCTGGATCTCAACACTAGCACTTGGGCAAATAAAAGATGGGGGAACAGTTGTCAAATTTTGAAAACACGGAATTCCATAAACATGCGATGTATTTACTGGAAAGATGGGGTATGAAAAAGGAACAAAATTCATAGAAGTTCCAGATCTGTGAATAGCAGATTTGTAACTCAAAGCAGCAGCACAGTCCAAATTCTCCATACCCAAGGTCGTTACAGAATCAAAAAGGTTTGAACTGCACCCATTATGTAGAGAGATCCAGGTTTTATCCTTATTCTCAAATCCTGATCCAGCGCCAGAGGTAGAGGTCTCCAATGGTGTTGGTTTATGGAACAAAATATCTTTATTCTCATGGTCGTTGTCATTAGAATCGGTCTCGGAAGGTTTCTTAATCTCAGTTGCAGATCCTTCATCTTTTGGTAACAAATTTCCAGTTGAATGGACTTCAGAAGGCACGTCATCACAGATCATTTTTTCAACTGAGCCATAATATTCACTGGAGCAAACTGGTAAATGTGAATCCATGGCCTCCTCTTTGATGGCATCCTCCCCTACAACTGGTTTTGCCATTTCACATTCAGATTGGGAAGAAGCTACCAAAGCCGAACTGCTACATTCAGAGGAATCTTCCATGTCAGGTCTTTCTTTTAAGCCACCATCATGATTCTTCTTCCGGATTCTTGAAGTAGAGGAGTTCACATTGGTTAAACCTGGGTACCTTCCAATCAGACCTTGAACCATGTATGATTCCAATTTTTTCTTGACTGAACTGTTCCAGTGGTTTTTTATTGAATTGTCACTCCTGATGGTACAGAAAGCAAAAGTAATCAGAAGCTGTCTTAGCAACAGCTGTAAATAGTTTAGAATAGAAATTGAAGGTAAAAATTTAGTCAAAGAACTTGAAGAGAATATAAATAAACCATGAGGGTGAGCAAAAGCTAAGTAGACTTAATGAAATATGCATTTTAATCCTTGAGATTTACAAAATAAAGTTACTGGACGACACCCACAAAGAACCTGATCACAATAGAAATAAATCAAAAATCTGAACCAAAGTTGAGGAGACTGCAATGGATAGGCTGAGTAGACTTAATGGAAGTAAATTCATTTTCCATACTTAAGATTGATAAAAATGAGTAACTAAACAACTGAATATATGTGTACATAAAAATAACAACAACAAGCCTTTATCTTACCAAGTAGGGTGGGCTACATGAATCCTTTTTCTCCATTGTGTCCTTTTAAGTGTTATATTTTAGTTTAATTCTAATAAATTAAGATCATTTTTTACCCAACAGGCCCAGATCTTTTTAGGTCTACCTCTACCTTTCGTAACATAAGTAGAATCTAAAACATCTGCTCTCCTGACCGGATTACCAGATGGTTGATGTTTAAAGTAACCAAACCATTCAAGATGACTCTCTCAAATCTTGTTTATCACCGGAGGCAGAACAAGCCTTCTGTGGATATACTCATTTCGCATTTGTCTCTAAGTGTAAAACCACTCATCCGACCTAATCATTCTTATCTCAACAACACTAAATATAACAATTTAAGTACAGTGAATCAAAATCATTTACTGCTTGTATACATCTTTATAGAACTCAAAACTTTTTTCTTCCATGTAAACATTCCTAGAAAATTAAAGGGAAAAAACAACCATTATTTTTCCACATCAAGAAGAGTAATTCCAAAAGTTTTCAACTTGAAAAATTTTCCTAAATTTTTAAAATCAAGACGATCTTCAAGATTTTCAGTGTTTAAGACCATTGAATTTGTGGAGGACGACATCAATTGTTTTTGTTGATGCTTGAAGTTGAGTTTTTCCAAATGAAATGAATGAAGGGGAATGGAAATATGGTGCAATACTTGGAAAGATTATTAACTCCTGATAAGATAGTATTCGTTCACTAGTATCTTATACGATTGTAGCAAAGGTTTCAGTAATTTGATTGCGATTTAGAGTATAATCTCATGTTCCAAAATGAAGATATGAGTACATTGAATGAAGAACTTAGGAGGCCGCACGGGTGGAGGGGGAATCCTATTTTGTTAGGTTTGATTGGGATTATTTTATTTATTTTTTAAATGATAAATAATGTGTACAAAATGAGTCACATAATTCGTTGTTTCTGGTGCATCTCAAAATGCATATCACTGCCTTGTGAACATACAAAATTTTATGTTTTGACTTTGTGAGAAGACTTATGAAATATGAGGGTCCAACTAAGATATTTTCAGCATTCCAAATGTACTGGCATATTTCATTTTACAAATGAGCAACAAATTAAGGGATTTCAGCCACAGAGTCAAGAAAGAGGAACTTTAACTCGATTTGTGTGATGTTGCATTTGTAAACCATGTTCATCGCACTTAATCAAATTAATTGTGGAGGACATTTTTCTGATTTTTTCTACATTCTTGACACGTGCAATTTTTATTATGAACTTAACTAATAATGGAGTTAATCCAAATTATAATAAAAAATAAATATTATTACTTGAAGCAAATAGATGGTCACAATCAAACAAACTTAAAAAAGAAATTACAACAACACGACATGACATAAATAATCAAATTAAGGTGGGATCTCAAAGTAGTGGTGGTGGTCGTTCAGGCTCTAAAAGTTGTTGGTAAGGTGGTAGCGCGGAGCAAGTGGGGCGGATATGACAACAGAACAACAGGTAAACTTAGGTTTCCTGAAAGGTGTGCATTTTGTATTAAATAAAAAAGGAAAACATATATATAGGTCAACGACCTCAAAAATAACAAAAAAAACTATTCTAAAGCGGAACAATCATCCCTTAGTAAAGACAAAAGAAAAGGGAGCAGTTCAAACCATTCCACTCAAAGGAGCTCGATAAGGCTGTCTTGCACAAAAAATGGGCAACCTTATTGAGCTCTCGAGGAACAAAACAAAACATAACTTATTTGAACAAAGTCAAAAAACTCAAATCCTCCTCCATGCATGGCCACCTCTCGCCATATTTCCTCCTTCATGTTTTGTTGGCAAGCTTCAACTACATTTATGTTGTCCCCTTTGATAATGATACCTTTGAACTCAAACAACTAGGGGCTTAGACAGTCTTTGATTGTCTAACGAGTTGACCTGATCATCACGACAGATTACTCCAATGCCCGCTCATAGTTAGATAAAAGAGCACTATCAACATTGAACTTAATCCAACCTCGAGTTGTGGGGCACCACGAGGAAATATAAGTTAGCCTATTCGACCGAAGGGTGCACCAACGCTTCGTAATGGGACAGTTAAAAGTTTTGGTGAGTGCCTCAAGAATTGAAGCGACAATAGCTGTTGGCGTACGAAACGAATGCCCGTGTTTCTTAGCATTTCTATTCCTCCAACTTTGGTATACCACAATACAATACATATGGCCTTGAAGAGAACACGCCTTCGACAGAGAAGAAAAGAACTCAAACACCTTGCTGCTCCAATAAAAAACTGGCAAATTGAATCCCCATCTTTTCAAATTACTAAGTATTTCACGCAGCAATAAGCAGCTCGCTACTAAATGTGAAGTGTTCTCCTCAACAGTACAACCCCATGGGTGCAACAATTCATCTCCAATATTATGCCTACATAACCAAACATTTGTCAGGATGACATTGTGAGTAATACACCACCAGAAAACTTTTCGCGCGGACTAAGATTAAACTTTCCCAACCACAAATATTCATCAGGACAGGTTTCAAACTATTTTGCATAGACATTTTTTGTAATTGTATTACCTGAGAAAGCCCAAATTAGTGTTGCTTTATCACTAATTAATCTGCCAAGCAGCCACATCTACTAAATCAAAACAACTAGCTCGATCCCGAAAATTTCTTAGCATTGCCTCCTCGTCCCATGAGCCATTGCTAAGAACATCCACGACAAGATCATCATCCCCACATTGACATTAATAAAAATTGGCCACTTCAAGGTGGGCAAAATCCAAGATCTATATGTGTTTCAAAATATTAATCATGAGTCCATTCCCAACTTCCAATCTACTGCTGTCACAAAACTTTGACAAGCGCACTCATCAACATATGGTAGGTTGATGAGACCGCCCAACAACTATTTGGGATCCATGAGTTATCCCCATATTTTTCTGCAATGCACCGATAAGCTAATTGGTCCACCCTGTTAAGAAAGTCCCCGACAATTCTGGCACTGAGAGGGGCATGAGTCCATTCCCAACTTCCCATCTAATACTGTCACAAAACTTTGACAATCACTCATCAATATAAGCAAGGCTGATGAGACTGCCCGACAACTATTTGGGATCCATGAGTTATCCCCATATTTTTCTGCAATGCACCGATAAGCTAATTGGTCCACCCTGTTAAGAAAGTCCCCGACAATTCTGGCACTGAGAGGGGCATGAGTCCATTCCCAACTTCCCATCTAATACTGTCACAAAACTTTGACAATCACTCATCAATATAAGCTGAGAGGGGCTGATGAGACTGCCCGACAACTATTTGGGATCCATGAGTTATCCCTATATTTTTCTGCAATGCTTTGGTAAGCTAACTTGTCCACCCTGTTAAGAAAGTCCCAAGCAAGTCTGGCACTGAGAGGGGCAACCTATTCCTCTAACGAGTGTAGGCCCAATCTACCAGCAGCTTTTGGGACGACAAATGTCCTCCCACTTGGGCTCCTGACAAATTTAACAACTATGTGGTAAGAAGGCAGTGCAAAAAGTTTGGGACAACAGTTAGGTGGCAGGGAAGTGATCCGGGATGACTGGACAACACCTATTGGGAAGGGAAAAGGATTTATTGTGGTTGGACAGTGATGGGAGCAAACAGGAGCAGCTGAATTGCAGGGAACATGGGCTGAAATGTAGAAACTACATGAAGAATAACATCAACAGTTGTTCCGAAAGGATGCAGTAGGGAATGGCGACAGGAAGCATAGTGTGGAGGATGCGAAAAGGGAATAAAGAAAGATGATTACCATATTGAGAGAGAGATACAACCCGAGCACCACTCAGTCCCTTGGATACAAGAATAGAGAAACAGACACCGACATTTGTCTAAAACAAAACACTAGAAAAAAAATGAAAACCTCAAAACAAAGGAATCACATAAATAAGCCCTAGTTACTTAGGATTGGATCCTCTTATGAAATGGAGGAGCCAAATCATCGTGGGAGAGCCAGTTGACCCTTTCGAGTTAGGACCTGTTCGGACTAGGCGAGAGAAATCGTGGAATTGGCTCCCATAGTTTTTTTTACACCTGCATTACTGTAGATTGAATTGCAAAATTGCACCCACATTACTGTAGCTTGAGAAGCGGAGAGAAGCTCACACATCAGTCCCTTGGGGGTTGGAAGAGACCTCATACTTCGAAGCTTCTATCTCCTCATAGTGGTTAGGGCGGCCCTGTTGAAAATATCAGAAATAACATAATCTTCTGGCAAGTAAGTCTTGTAGGTGTGGACATTCCAAAAAAAATCTTGATAGAATAAAGATCCATTCTCTTTTGGCACGACCTGAGCTAAAGCAACATAAAAAATTTAGGTTTTCACAAGCCAAATCCCCAACAAGTAAATATATAATATGCCTCTACCACTCTTGTGTTTGGCTGAGTATGTATGATAAACAAGGCTATCAGGAGGGGCCAACTCTGGAACGACATCTCTAGAATACTCGACAACTCTCACTAGTGGTTTGATAGGACCTGAATCTCGTTGAGAATTCTATTCCCTATTAAGCTCCTAAGAAAATTTTCAAAGCTCAATTCAACCCTCAAGTCTGGACATCTGATGGTAGGTACACTGTTGAACTGAATCT